ACAATTACCAACTTGTATGCAGGTGTGTTTTTCTCCAAGAATAAGAACCTGTTTTAAGAACCTAAACAGCCTAAAATTTTGTTAAGTACCATTTATGTAAGAACCTGTTTAGGCTAACTCCTAAAAATGTAGGTTCTTACTTATGGGTTTTTACTGTATAATAAGATCAATGGTCTTTCTTTCTCTTTTAAAATTAGTTTTCAGGAGGATGGTGAAACTTTTGTGAAAACCATGTCAGACTGCTGGATTGTGGGAAGAAAATCTGACCAACGAGAATTATTTGTGATCTTAAATCAAAAGAGTGCCAACCTTATAGAGATTGATGGTGAGTGGTTTGAAATAATTAATTTAAAATTCTCGTTCTTACTCGTGATACACCAAAGATGAATTATTAAAAAGTGTGAACAGTATTATGCTACAAGGTTTTTATTGGTGATTTCTTTCAATAATGCTTCAATTTTAATTACTTTGCAGAGGAAGTCAAGAGATTGGGTATCACACAGTTTAACAACATCTTCTTCCTGGACTAGTGTGGAGAAAAACAAGGGCACCACAGATAACAAAGATATAATGGCAGCCTCCAGGAAAAATGGTCACTCAAAACAGATGATTTAACTACAAAGATGTAGACTGACTTTTTTGTTAGACATGGAAATGTTGCTCAAAGAAACAGTAGAACACTTGGAGCCTTGGCATGAAATGAAACAAGATTTACTGTCAACCTTGTAGGGATGGGAATGGAAGCCTAATGGCATTAAAAAAAAATAATAACAATTTCTAATGGGAAGAAGAACAACTTCAACAAAATTAACAAATTGGTGAAAATTTTTATGAATGAATTTAAAATAATTATGCTTTTCTCTCTCTATTATTTTTTCTTCTGTGTGAGTGTATTCAATGTTAGTGATGTAAATGTTAGTGGTGAGTTAAAATTATTGGAGTGGAAGTTACCTGCCATGAATACTGTTGATATTATCATGTTGTAAGCAGAGTTGTACAATACTAAATGCTTGTTTGTAATAAATGTAAATTTAGAAAAAATTTCATCAGAAGAAGACAGAAATTATTTATTTTAAGTCAAATTGTACAAGCTTTGCAACAATACAAATTGCTGTCATTAAAATTCCAACTTTCCCATTCTTATGTACAATAAAACAATATAAAGGTAAGTTAGGAGAGAAAAATTTATAACTTCAGTACTGTCACCAAATTAGGAGCAATCAATTCATTTAAGACAAATGTATTAGTTACTAATGAATAAAGGCTGATAGTTTTGAAAGAAACTGTTTGGGGCTGCGTCGGTGAGGGTAACGAAATAATTTGGATATATCAACAAAGTTGAAATGGTAAATTGGCCACCGTAACAATTACAAAAGCACGCAAAACCCACAATTCCTCTATTCGCTCCGACAAAGGGCTAACGCTCGAAACGTCAGCTTTTGTAATCGTTACAGTGGCCAGTTTACCATTTCAACTTTGTTGATATATCCAAATTATTATATTAGTTACCAACATTATGATGAAGATGCAGGATATCTTAAATACTTTGATTCTTTAAATTGATAAGTGTCTCAATTCTCCAAACAAATTTCATGCAATGTCAGGCAGGCGGGTAAAGAAAATAACAAGATAAAAGTTTCAACTGAGGGATATTACTGCGGTATATCAGGGTGTTCCTCGTGCATTGAAAGTGAAGTGTATCCCAACTTAGCTACTTATTCCAGGCCTCCATTTCAATGGCCTGAGCAATTTTTCCTTCAGATACTACTCCCCCGCTGCAGCAGTTTGTATTTTTTCTTAATTGAAGACCTGTGGTATGGCACCAAACTTTTTAGATATAGCTAACAAAGAAATACATGACCATCAGTTTTAACAAATGTTGGAATTCAGTTAGATCAACAGGTTTAACCTAAACCCATTTTGATCCCTCCCTTGCCATTGTCTTGGTCTGCTAATACTGTTGTGCAGCTGTTTTGATAAACTGAATGCCTAGATAAGGCCATACAAAGTGAAGAAAATGAGCTCTCACAACCTGTTAGGTTAGAGAAATAAAATTCTGTAGGCATTATGCCTTATGCCCAAGACTGATGTTTGTGGTAGTTCTCTGTAAAAACATAAATAGTGCATGCCAAACTCTGTCTTGCATGGAGACCAAGAAATTGTTGGAAAGAAGTTAAAATCAAAGTAGAATTCTTGTCCTAATGAAGTCCATGTCCAAAACATCTTTTTGATAATAATATCCCTAAACTGCATTCATTTGCAAGCAACACTGTTTGGTAGAAGCCAGTCCAAAGTGGACAACTTTCCAACCACAAACATATCACAAGAGGTCAGAACAACTTCATCAGTGTCCCCTCCAAACTTCAAGACTTATTGTTTGTAATTCCTCGAAAAAACTATGCTGGAGTAAGGAGGCTGGCTATGTCACTTGAACAACTCCCTCCTCCTGAGTTGTCCTTGGCTTCTTGTGAAACAAAATCAGAAACATGAGAATTGGGAGGTATATCAGACTAAACCGAAAAAGTTTCCTTGCAGATCTTGAATCTGAGTCTTTATAAAACTGATATCCCAAATAAGCATTCCATAAATTAAGTGGTAAAGAGTCTAAAGCCAGCCACCATGTTGTAACTTCACATGCGGGTAGAAGTGTTGTAAGGCCAACCAATGCTAAGCAGTGTCTAAGGGTCACCCGTCTGCACAGGGGTGCATTTGTTACACACATCATGCGATAACCAGCTATAGTAAGACAACAACAACAAAACAAATTAGGGTAGGAAATTTTTCTATGGTACAGGAAGCTTACAATAATATGCAAAAGGATAAAGAAATGCTTAGTGTACATGTAAAGTTTTGGTTCTTTTTGGCTTAATTGCTGTCATGAAGTACACTTAATTAATATATATATAAATTAACAAAAGTTTTCTACATTTTTTTACCAAATGAGAAAGGATCAAGTCACCCAGTCTTGGTAGGAAAGGATTGTAAAGCTGTGAATGAGTCAATGTGAATGACATGTCCATTTCATTTTATTCTTCATTTTAACAAGGCTGTGCTCTAAGAAAAAGTAAAGGGAGCCCACTGCTTGAAAACTTTGAAATACAGGGTGTCCAGCATATACTTTTATCGGAAAAAACTAAATTTCCCAAGTCACTCAAGAGCAAAAGTAAGGTGCCAGGGGCTCCTGAGTTCTGCTAGACCACAGCCCTATTTAAGAATCTGCTTTGGACCCCTTAGCACTATTAGATTCTCATCTAAATCCTTTCACTGCCAAGATCTCATGTCTTTGAGTAATTCTCCTTACCGTTTGCCATACAATTCTTATCATGTAAGTTAGGAGAACCTGGTATTGGGTCCACTAATTAACCCCTAATTGATATTTTCCTTTATTTGCATGACTTGCCTGCTTGATTTTGTACTTATATTGTACAGAGAAATTCTGTCTTAGTCACTCACTGTCGTAAAGGATTGAGAACTTCCAATGAAAGCAAATATGGGTATTAAAAATTGTGGCAAAATAATATCATCATCCATTACCTCTAGAATAATCAGCTCTGAGATTCCAGCTCAAAGCATTAAAATGTGGAAACTGCCAAGAGTACAAAATTCCTGCTAACACCAATCCCCCAGCATCTATTCCTCCAGTACAGGCAGCCCAGCCCATCAAGGGGGGTAAGGCTCCCACAACTGACCCAACCCATGTATTAACAATACTCAGACGCTTCATAGGGGTGTAGACAGATGTGTAGAGTACAAGAGTCGCTGCGCCTGTCAAAGTGCAATGTGATACAATATCTTTACCTTTATGAACAGTCACTAATGTACTAAATGTGGCTTTAACAAACTGGATACAGACAAACCTCGCAAAAGTGAAGTAATATCTAGTCAAGTGTAATACTAACCCAGAGCAGCAGTTAATCCATTAACTTGACTGGTTAATACAGATACACCCATTACACCAGTTGCTACAGCAAATAGTACTACATGAAGGGGGCTATGGATAAACAAATGCAAAATTACAAGTTTGACCAATGACTTTGCCAATCTCAAATTAAACAACAAATGAGGGACTCTTCTTTATTGGACGAATCCTACATTGTTTCTATTTTATAGTGCCTACCTCAAACGGGCCCTGACAAGAACACGGTTTTGTGTGCGGCTCATCTGTGAGTCAAAAGGTACTTCTAGCCACTTTAAAATATAATCAAACAAATTTCATCTGATTTTGAGTAAATACTTTAGAAAAAAAATCAGAAGTCATTTAAACAGGGCTATCATACCTTAAGCAGTTGAAAAATAAGACCTTTTTTTCAACCATTTGCAATTATAACATAACCAAAGTAAAGCGCGCGCTCTGATTGGTCAATTCAGCGTCCCCCATTTGCCCATGAGTGTATGCTGCTGACGTGAGCAAATGCAAAGACTATTTTTCCGCGCATGCTTGTTTTTTCTGGTCACGTAAGATTTGTTAAATAAAAGGAAATTCTTTAGCTACAACGAATCAATGTTATGTTATAAAACAAATGGTAAACACCACAGCGTACACTATTGAGTTATGGATGCACTTGGGAGGTTTGCGAAGCACTCAAGAAGCTAGAGTCGCTCTCGGCTATCGCCTCGAACAACTCTCACGCTTCTTTCGTGCTTAGCAACCTCCCGCGTGCATCCATAACTCAATAGTGTACGCTGTGGTGTTTACCATTTGTTAATCAATATGCATACCTGGTTAAATGCATTTGCTGAGGAGGAACAGAGGCCTGTTCCTAGTCCAGCCCAAAGAAAAGTACTGAGATTCATTGCCCCTGGCGCAATAGCATACCCTGCCATTTCTGTGATTACCACAAGACCTACAGTGTAAATGCAAATAATAATGATCTAGCTACAAACACACACAAGTTTTACTGTAATTGAAAATATGTTGCATGGTAGATCTTTGACTGCTCTTTCCCTTGAAAAGCTTACTCTCTCCATTTTTAATTGCTCTCAAATAATCATTCTGCAATGCTAAATTCGCTAGATTGAAAATGCCTAAAGTGGGTATTATGTGACCTTCTTGAGTATCACAGAGTGAGGCAAATGTTTTCCCAACCCCTCCCCCTCTCCTATCCACTCTGATCTAAATAGGCCATTTTAAAGTTGTGTACTTAGTTGCCAAGCCTTTGAATTGCAATGAAACTGAAGGTACCCTTGTTGTGATAGAGATCAGTGTCCAGTTATCATTTTAAAAAAGTAATTTACATTTGAAAAGCACCAACATTTGTTTCACAACAAGGTCACCCTTAGCCTCACTCCTGCTCAAAGGCTCAGCAACCATGCAAGCAACTGTAAAATTTTATGTTACATGGCCTTGTAATAATCTTGCACTGAAGGCTGCAAAGGGTTCCTTAAATCAATACAGAATAAAGACCTGTTAGTCTGATCTTGGACAGCTGCATGTACTGTCTTGGCAATTTTTTCCAATCAATTTTTTGTTCCACCCATTCCTCCTCTGTGTCATCACTCTTCTCCTCTACATGAGAGAGGCTTTCATGTGCCTCAACACCACATGTTGTCTTTCCAATCAGTGCCACTGAAGTTGACTTTGGCTGAAAGGAAAGTGTGCATAATCTCAGAATATAATTGTGTTGGAAATTATTTCAGATATCAGAACATAAACATTAGAATCAATGCTTAAATCATTCTTTTAAGGAACCTATGAGATGTTTGCAAGTTGTGCACAGTAGCTGGGATTTGGCAATTATTTTACCTAAGCATGCTACAGATTTTAATTTGTACTGTTTATGGTACGATAGTATTTTAGTTGATGCGATAAGAAGCCCACTGTAAGTGGTTGTATTCTCCATCAAACACTGGGCAAGTATGAAAACCCTCTGAGTTCAATCTTGTGAAAACTTTGCAAATAGGCATCTCTCATTAAGGGGGAAAATGCTCAGATAAAGAGAAGTTGCCTGTCAATAGACACTGCAACTGTAATTCCAGCAGCTATATTGCCATTAACTATTCTTTCTTCTGAAATGATTAGCTTTTCAAAATCAAAACTTATGATGGAGCATCAATTACAAACCCACTTGGCTTCCTTGGATCTACCACTGTTAGTAAAGAATTAGTAAGTCTGAAAATATTCAGAAAACAATATAAGGCTTGACACTAACTTTTCAACTTATTAGCCAAGTGGCTGTTGACAACTTAGATGTTACAACAATTTCAGTCTTTTTACTAGCCAACCTGGCTAGGGGAAATTGAAAATCACCAGCCAATACTGAATTTCTACTAGTCTGTGGCTAGTTGGCGACCGTCAGTGTCGAGGCCTACAATAGTTATCTCTGTTACCAAGTCAGATGGTCCTTATTTATTAGCATACATTATGTAATCTCTGTAACTTGACAACGCGACATCAGCATCTTTCCAGCTGTCGTTTGGATCTCTATTTTCTTGTAATTAACGGAATAATCTTTAATGAATACAGTTTTAACGTCGAGGGCAAGAGATCGGAGATCACTGTAAAAAGCGTGCTTAATTTTATCATGTTGCATAGACACTTTTTAAGTTTCCCTCGACCTCTCCGAATTGTAATTTCGAAAAAGCTTGAGGACATGCAGGACCCACCTTGCTTTGACAAGCACTGGTACTTTTAGGCTGGCCATATGAATCACTCAGAATACGTTCCTTGGGCTTCAATCTCGAAAATCGTGCTCTATATTGATGCAACCGACGGAGACCGGGCTTGTTAGAATTAGAGACATGCCGGTAGAAGACCACCGCTCGATGCAGCGAACAGGCACCTAAAAAATAAGACACTAGTTCAACAGTCTTTTCAGCTTGCTTCTTGCCATTACAAAATCGCCACTTACAACACAACAGAAGGCGAGAGTTCATCATAACTTGGTCATTTTGCGGCTAGCTAATACTGGCCGCCATGTTTAATCGCACGTTTAATAACTGAAACGGCAAGACATCAGCGGTTGTTTCTAATAGCCCCCGTCTCCTCGACTAGTTTTCATAGCAATCTTTTTATCCACTGAAATCTGTTGATGAAATGGCATCAGAACTTTTGATATTGCCTTAGTTTAGTTACTATGGGTCGAAAGAACAAAAGCGGTGTGTCCCCTCAGAATCAAGAATCATGTCACAAGCTAAACTTCTTACATCAGGCGAGTAAATTTTTGAGATCATTCGTACCCAGCTCGAATGCTGTCCATAGCTAACTTTTTTTGTATCTAACGACAAAATACATATGGTATTATTTTGATTCTTCTCCTCTTTTCCCTAAATATGTATATATTTGTTAATTATTCTACAGGCATCCCATGTAGTGCTGGCCATCAATCCAGAAAATGTGGAAATGTCAAGATTTTATGCAAGCACATTGAAATCAACAGCTCAAAAACTTGTGTTTAAATTGTACGTGTTTCAAATCGCTACTGAAGTGATATGAGATTTTGGTAGGATGGTATGAAAAAGCTATTGGCCGGATTGTTATTTTTCTAGGATTAACAATGATGACTTTATTGAATGATGGGGGCTGTAGTGAGTAGACATGATTCAAAGGCATGATTCAATGGTGCTGTGGGCTGGGGTTCAAAAGGTCACGAATCGAGCATTAAGCAAGGTGTTGTGGTTTGGAAAGAGATGCTTGATTTTCAGCATCTCTCTCCACCTTGGAGTGTTAATGAGTATTGACAAACTGACCGAAAGACTTAGCCTTTTACTCCATAACATCAGTTTGCTAGTTCTCCATACTGTTCTCTTTATGTTTTCTATGATAATTACGAGAATTTGCCACAGGCAGCCCAAGCTCACTACCAGAAAAGCGGACGTGACTCTTACAGTGTTGCACAACGTTTTATATTTATAAAGGTTTGTATGGGATGTTATCAGTTTGCCTTAAAAGAGAGAAAAAATGTCTTGTTTTGAAATAAAATGGACTTACCTTATTGCCTCGTTTTCTTTGTTGATTACCAGTGTCTCAGGCCATTTTGAAGCGTTTTTGGCGAGTTAGTGCAATTTTGGTGTTCAACTTCTAAAACTGCTAAGACATTTTTTCTCTTTTAAGGCAAACCGATAACATCCCATACAAACCTTTATAAATATAAAACGTTGCGCAACGCTGCAAGAATCACGTCCGCTTTTCTAGTAGTGAGCTTGGGCTGCCTGTGTTTTATCTTAGCACTTTTTGACCTCATGATCATCTTCTTTATTCTCATGACTCCCTTTTCTCTCTCTTCCTGTTTGATTCAGGGTTCAGACCATTGAGATAAATTAGATGATTATCCCATAAACTCCAAGAAGTGATCAACAAGTAACTTCCCCCTATAATATCCATACATTGTCTAGCAAACAGGTCATGAGAATAGTGAAACTTGACAGGTAGAAGGTGTTATCTTGATCTGACACCAAATTCTCATCACCAGTTTATTAGGAAATGTGTTACAGCTAGAGGGGAGAATTGGAGAGTTTTAGGTTTTAGCTTTGTCAAGGTTATGTTGTGTTCTTTGACGAAATGCTTAACTCCCATTATGATAATACACCACTCCGCGTACCAACCAGAAATTTAAATATTCTCTCTCCAATAAGGAAAACTCACAAAATTGTGGCCTCAAGATGGAGTAGCCTGCCATAGATGAATATTCCTTCGTAGAAGAATTATGGTGATATTTTACTCCATTAAATTACATTTTACCTTCTTTTAAACACAGATTTGTTATATGAAGCAAGAGGCAACGAAAAGTGTCCCATGAAAAAGTGGTTCCTTCAACTTTAGTTGACAGATTAGTTTTATTTGCTTATTCACTCAGCTCTGTTTTTGGAGTTATTATTCATGACCTAACTGTTTCTTCTATCAGGGATCCAAGCATTAAAAGGACCATTTGCAAACATTGTCATTCCCTTCTTATACCAGGAATTACAGCAAGGGTCAGAGTGAGGCGTAAGTTGGATATTGAACACTTTCATATAATTTTCAACATGTGTTTACCAAACATCCCATGTGGGTTATTACTCAAGAAAACTGATTAAAAGAGCTGTCTATTGCTTTTATAAAATAAACTTCAATATGGGTTAGTCGGTGCAATAAAGAGGGCCACATTCAGAGTTTGATGCAACAAGACCTCACCATATTCTCACACTTTGGTTATTTAGTGTTATTGTATTGTTCTTCAGGAAGAAGAGAGAGACACATTGTGGTTACATGCCTTGAATGTCAGACCATTAAAAGATACCTCTGCAGAGCCAACTATGTTCTGTGGAGTGAAAAACAAAATAACCCTAAGCAGCAAGATAATGACAAGGATGGCCTTATTCAAGAAAATCAAATGGAGGGAAAGGAGAAGAGTTAAACATTTTCAATCTGGAATGAAGGAGTGCTGTCCATTTTTCTATGGGAAAATCAGGGAGGATTTTCTGTGAAGAGGAGCAGTAAGATTTTTTGGCAATCAAAATGAAACAGGACAAGGTTGTTCCTTCTGCACAGACTTTACTTTTTTCCTTGTCAGATCCTAGGTACCTGGATATTTTATCAGGGAGTCTGTTTCTAGGGGATAGAAGCAAACAGTAAAGTGAATTTTGCTGTTTTTCAATGGTCCCAGATATAAGTAATGATCATTCACATCATGCCTTATGATCTGACACACTTCACAGAAGTGAAAACAAACCATACTTTTGTGGCAAGGCTACCCTTGATTATATGTAGCTTATTCCACATGTTCAGTCGGTAAAATGAAGCTAATAAACAAACAGCATGCTTTGTTTAACTGGTACACCTGGAACAGGCTAAGATTGCTTTTTCCTATGAGACAGCTCAGCAAAAATAAAAGACTGTCAAAGGAAATTGCATAATGGGGAAGTTTATAACTAGGCACAACTACTTTTGCTGTGTGATCTTCCAGTTTCTATGGATTCTTGGTGTTAGGGAAAGCAATTGAAATTGAAAGAATTTTTTTCCTAAGAAGAAAGAAAAAAGAGAATAGTTCTTGCACTCTTCAAACGGAAAAAAAATCGTTTTTATCAGGAATTGGTGAAACATAATCCTCTGTTCTGACTGCTTCTTCTTGCTTTCGGTAATTAATTCTTAATCTTCTCTTATTCTCGAGATTTTCTTTGTCTCTCTTGCCTAATTTGTATAATCAACCAACACTCAAGGAGTTTTTTCTTTTATTTTGGTTTAACCCATTACTAGCAGGTGTTTACAATGTTGCATTGTAGATAATTCCGAATTTGGAGAATCGATTTAAAAGGAACCGATTTTGGAAACAATTTAAGGTATATCTGAAACCATGAATTTGGAACTTTGGATAAGCAGCAGTTTTTTATCGGTATAGTCTAATTTATTTGAATACCTTCGCTTAAACGTACAGTATATGCGCTTACGCCTTGAATAATAACAAGAAGATATGAAGATTTGCCAATAATTCTCAAGACAGCTAATGCAAACCAAATACTGTTATGTCTCATAACAGGAAAAACCTTTTTAAATCAACGCCATATCAGCTTTGAAAATCTAAAGCCGAGGAAATGACACCTTTGAATTGTTAAGATATAAATGCGCTCTTTGTCCAAACGGAAATAAACTCCCACCAGTAGGGGGCCTGTCAAACATGAAAAAAATAATTGCCCTTTAAAAAAAACAGCTTGCTTGACTTGTGAATTTTATGAATGTTTTGTATATTGTGTTGCATAGCCAAGATGTATTTTCTTATCAATATTTGGCTAAATTAAAATTATCCAATACTTGTGTCGATGCTCTAAAGCGTTACTTCTTTGATTTGGTGAATATGACTACTAGATTGTTCGCAGTCGGATTCTTTACTATCATTAGAACAGTTCTCCGAAGGATGAGGCGAGATAGTTCTTGCGGTTTGATCGCCTTCTTCTGTCTCTACATTTTCCGCTACAGCACTATCAACCCCATCAAACCTTGAACTTGTGGCGTCGCTAAATTCCTCGCCTGACAAACCTTCCTGACTAGTATCTCCGTAGTTTAACCCGTTTACGTCTAAAGTGATATCGACATTTGTCGTCACGCTTTTTGGGAAAAAATGCGCTTGTGGGTATCCGAACGTGGTGGGATGATGACGGACCATAGGGTATAAATTATTTCTTTGAGCGAGGTTTTGCATTCGCTGTGGGGCTGGATAGTAAGTGTTTCCGTCAGGAAAATTAACTTCCGCAAATCCATGACCTCGTTGTGCGTACAACGGCGTGGAGGGTGCAATCGGGTATTCTGGTGGTCGATGAACCCTCCTGGTTGAGTTGTTCCGAATCCTCGGCGAATACCCTCGCCCTTCTTTTCTTAAGTGTCGAGTCCAAGCACAACAACAAACAATAAAAATCACGCCGAAAATCCCCACATAGCATAGCGTGGTCACGATCAGGAACTTCGAATCTAACATTGTCGGCCTTCGCTGTCAACTAAGCCATGTGATACACACAATGTTCTTGGACAAATGTTTAGACTATCAAGTACCAGACGCACGGAAGGTCAATAATTCTGTCAAAGCGTTACTCTCATATTTAACAGGCTAATCGACTTTTGCGAGTCAAATTCGAACCAAAATAGATATACCCAATTCCTTGAGACGTAAATGAATGAAAAAGTTCTACACTCGGGCGTAGTTCCCGGAGTCGTGTCGAGTTGCGTCCAGCATCACGGAATAGCGAGCGACCCTCAATATTGTCACTTTAACTTTTCAGAGAACATCTGACATTGGCTTAGAACGCTCTCGAATGTTTGTAATCTGCTCGTACGCAAGCGATCGGAAAGACAGATGAATGAATGAAATATCTTTCAGGAACGATGATAGAGCCGACGAACACAACAAAGGCAAGTCAGCGGAACAACGATACCACGGATAGTAATGTAATGATCAGTTGAAAACGCCAATAAACCGAAAAAAAAAATTAGCAAAAAGCATAAATTTTATTAAACATATTATATATTACATTTTCTGATTATTCTTCGATAAGTATTGCAGAGTTACTGAACACACAGTTACAGAGACCACTCTGTTTAGCAAATATCAGATCACACCACAAAACGCAGATTCTTTTCACTCAGTAGTTGCGTTACGAAGTTACAATACTTTCTTACAGATGATAAAGGACATAACATCGATCACGATTAGAAAATCGACCCTCGACTTGGACGTAGAGGGTCGATTTTCTGAACGTTTCATACAAACGTAATCGTTTCATACAAACGTGATCGTTTCATACAAACGTGCACAGTCACCTGGTCGCTCTTTACTTCAAATGTGAAGTGAAACTAGGTAGAGATTCTTCCACGTTCCAAGGGAAAGCCTAACAAGCCTAACTTGTCGCATACGACGCACCAACCAATCAGAGTAAATATGCTGTTTTCATCCAGCCAATCGGGAAAGCCTGTCCCAGCCTAAGCGCTTTGCCCGTTCTTGACATGCACGGTTTCCAATGTTGACACTGAAAATGTGACTTCCGTACCTTACAGCTTTGATATGATGTTAAACGTGTTTCTTTCATTGGTCCGATTAGTTATATTTGATAAATAGAGTTTCACACGATGATGTTTAACCAAAATCCAAAGTTACTGTACAATTATTTTTCCGATACGAACGACTACGGGTATTAAAATCCAAAAATAATACTATGGAACTACGCATCCGCTATAGCAAAGGTCCAGCCTAGCTACTGAGATCTGTACATATTTACATACCTGCTCACCTAGTGAGCTACCGCAAGTAAATAGTTTTGCTTAAGAGGTACACACACTCTTTACAAATTAAGTATATACAGGGGTCCATAACGGGCTCCTGGTATATATCATATTTTCGACCGAAAAAGAACTGTTGCGGAACCCTATGAAACGCGTCTGAGAAAATGAAAACGGAAACACGATATACAAATAAACAATTTTACACGATAAAAACCTGCCGTAATCTTGCCGAGCGCTCTCTAGTTCGGAGAGCGCCAAAATAACTTCTTTATTTAACGTGGAAGACGAGAGCTGACGATTTCATGGATTCATGGTATGAACGACTAGCCTATCCGTGATAAAAATGAAAACCAACGAAGATCAAAACATCTAGTAGTGAAAAACGTACGCCACATAGTTTAAGCAATAAATTAGCAACATTTTCTTCGTATCCGTTTTTTATTTTTTTGATTTTTTTCAACTTTTACCCCTACTTTTTCACCTTTTACCCTTTTTTCCTTTGTTAGTTTTTCCTTTCTTCTTTTTACCGCCGCGCCTTGAGTCGTCATCATCATCGTCATCGTCATCATCATCGTCATCGTCGTCATCATCGTCATCATCGTCGTCATCATCATCATCGTCATCATCATCATCATCGTCATCATCATCGTCATCATTATCGTCATCGTCATCGTCGTCTTCGCTGTCTTCAGTCTTCCTATTAGGCGCCTTACTTTCCGTTCGTGAAGAAGTCGAAGCACGGGCTTCTGCTTCGCTCTCTCGTTGTTCCTTCTTCTCCAGAAGGCGATACCACGCCTTTTTGATGGCCAGCATCTTCCACGACTGGTAGATTCCCCACTTGTTGACTTCCAATAAGGCGAATCGCATTCTTCCTATTCCTTCAACATATTGAGGTATGCAAACACTGGGGTGTCTGTATTTGACGAATACGCGTCGATGATCTTGAAGGTAATACCGAATGACTTTGTTTACGTCTTGTTCTATGGCAGCCTGTTCTTCATTCCGCTGGAGAGAAAAAGGAAATCAACATTTTAATGAAAAGGTTCAAATTTATCTGAAACGAGCATTCATGTTCCCTACAGACATCACGCTATCTTTCAATTGGGCAACAACCTTAAAGACCAAAAAGGAGGAGAGAATTCAATGTCGTGTCACGCTTTTCAACACTTATGTCACGTTTTCACATTTGTCACGTCATACTCTCCCAGCCGTCATACCCGGCCGTGAAGGGTGCTCCGAATTCCGGGAAGGAAATGGGGGAAAATAAATGGATAAGCACGATGAATGAGAAATTCCCTCTTTTTCTTCCTAAACCTCTCTCTCCTCCTTTTAGAGAAAAATAACTGAACAGTATATTAACAATAAAAATTGAAAGCGGTTGGAGAAGAAAATGATATTTAAGTGGGCGATAGAAGAGACAAAGTTACTGAAATATTTTTAAAACGTTTAAGAATAAAAACGATTAACTTCACTCTATGATTGCAGTTTCGTGCTCATGCTAGTTTAAAGAGGTAGCATTTAAAATTCTCTCCAATTTCAGAGTTATTCCATAGACTTTTACTGTAGAGAAAACATCATTTATTATTAATACATTATAATACATCCACAATTTATTTCCTGAAAGTTAAATCGCCACAGTTAGTAACGAGGGTATGAACGTAGTTATCAGTATTTACACATTAATTAACCAATGTTGCTTTACAATCCTGGATTACCTGTGGAAATGACAGGCCGTCAAGCCAGTTTTTATAGTTATCAATGTTGCACGAACAAATAAAGGAAATAAAGAGTTTAGTATTAATGATGGATCCTACATCAAACCTTTCGACGCACCTGAGCAATATTTAAGGAACTAAAATTTCTCTCACTTCTGAAAATCTATTCATTTTTGATGATACTAACGCTTATGACAAACTTTTATGTTTGAATTTAATGAATTCATTCAACAGTTCCCCATTCTTGTTTTTTTTTAACGACAAACTCGATCATAACCTTTAAAGTTGAAAAGCCCACCCTGATTTTTATTGATTGAGTCACATGTTTAAACGATATTCTTTGCGATATTTTAGATTTAAAGGTTGTCAATTACTTGCCAAATGAAGTTGTTCGTTTAGCCTCGCTTAAATGGCGCTCTGCCATTCGTTCAACAACTAATCATTAGTTGTCTTACGAATAAGACACAAACGAAAACAATCAATCACAACTTTGCCACTCCCGTTCTTCCGCGCTTGGCTTCCAGTTTTCAAGAGTTAATTGTTTAAATTTGCTTTGAAGGTGCAATTGCGTTCGTTTCGATTTTCCTTGACATTCAGGAGCTCTTAGAAATATTCTAGCCATCAGCAAGTTCATTGCATCACCAATACTTTTACAGACAGATAGAACTGAAAGCTTTCAAGATTCCTTCTAGCATAAGAAATGATTAAGAATCTGATAGAAAGATGAGTATTTCTCGCTTAAAATTAAATGGTAAACTTTCAGCCGATTATTCCCACAAGTTTATGAATTATGACATCCTGTCTTATACTGAACGTCGATAAACACTTTATGCCAAATATCATCTTAACTAAATGGCTGCGCTGAAGTTTCTCTAGTTGGTGCTGCTAAGAGTTAATCTCTCATGAAGTCTTAAGCAAAAGCGATATTAAAATCAAAACACCGAAGTTTGGACGAAGCAGTTACATTTAGTCATTTTCGGGTTAAAACGAAGCCGAAATCTTAAGTTAAAATAAAAACACCGATGTTTGGACGAGGTAGTTACATTTAGTCATTTTCGGGTTAAAACGAAGCCGAAATCTTTTGTTAAAATAAAAACACCGATGTTTGGACGAGGCAGTTACATTTAGTCATTTTCGGGTTAAAACGAAACCGAAAACTTGAAGCTCAATTTGTTACAAAAAAGCTCAGCTATCGTTTAATCAAACCCAGGAAGAACTTTGTGAATTCAAAAAAGTCGCAAATTAGAAACTTTAACTTTAAACATCGTTTTAATAAACAGCATACAAAAATGCTTTTTTTTAATTTTTATGGATACGAGTGTTTAACAGTTTCTATTCCTTTTGTATCACATTTAATGGTAATCAAAATTTTTTACCTGAATAATTAATTTTATCACCTTAAACGCACAACTCTCGAGTCACTAAAATTCTGATCACGTTAGTTTACGAAAGCGTCATCTTATAACTTTCTTTTTTCAATGTAGAGAAAACTTGGAAAGAAGATAGCGGAAGAAAATTGCACAAATCTGCATTGAATACGTGACGACATACTGGCATTAATCTTCAGTAGCTGCTCCTTCAGTTCCTCAATAGAATCACCTCGCTGCAGATTTCAAACCTCGGTTAGTAAGTACATAAACATTATTTTAAGTATGTAAGAGGTTCGGTCACGCAAAGTAAGGTAATTTACTGAATTTCACGTTGGCAGAGACGCAGACTTTCAGTGGGAACATCTGATCACTTCCATCAAGAAACGACAATAACTTTTTACGAATAAACACAATTTTTTCTCGCAAGTTGAAAGTAATCGGGAATTGTATCAGTTATGTTAAAAAACAATGAGAACTAAAAAGTATTTCTGGAAGAAACCATACATCCAACTGTAAAAAACATAATTGACGTTGGATCAATTTACGTACAAGTAGCCTTTTCCTCATAAGACACTCACATTTTTCAACATTTACGTCGAAGAGAAATATCTTATCACAAAACTAAGCTTAAAAATTAAATAAAATCTTTATCTTGTACTAAGCTACTAATCAACAACTTTTTCAAAAACCCTGCAGAGGTATGCATAAGTAACAATACTGTAACTTTTCATCAGAGACGCTGACAAACAAGGAATTAACCAGCAAAGTTCTTTTGTGCTAGGAAGCTTCCTGTTCAAGTGCTAACAGAAACAACCGCCCAAAGTAGCCAACCCGTTATGATAGAAATTGCTGTCAGGTAAAGCGGCTTTACGACTAACTCACCAGCTAATCAAAAAGCAATGAATCTTAAGCCTACGTTATAATTTTGTACAGAGTTCTCTACCAGAAAATGAAGCTAGCAGAATTAAAAATGGAGACACATAGTTGTAGGTGGTCTAATCATTTTCTAAGGACAAAATTGGATTGGCAATTGAAATGACGAATTACCCATCAGTATAAATTGACTTTTTGGTGACGTTTTATCCTCAACCAATCACTTTCCAACTGAGTCTACCGTCGGTAACACGAGCAGTAAAATTTCCCGCGCTTTTCACTGGCAGCTAGTCTCCGCTTCCAACTCAGATTCAAGTTGAATACATTGGATCCTTGTGCCACATGCTCCTTTAACTATCGGTCCGAGTGCGAACCACTTTGTCCATGGTAAAAAACAGATTCAACTTCTGCTTCTAAACCCGACGTCACAGCTCACGAACCTCACTAGTCTATACAATTACAGCACTTTACTCAGACTCATTCCTAGGAAAACATATCTCGCACAGTCGAAATCTCAAAGCCGAGTCTCGCTGAGTCGACGATTTTCTGAACAAGACAAAGTGATAACAACATATAGACGTGAAAATTTTTGATGGTCCTCGTGTTATCTCCGACTGATATTGGAGTTCGTCAATGGTCTTCGTGTTATTTCCGACTGATATCGGAGCTCGTCGGTTTTGAATAGAGACATTGTACAAAAAACACCAATTCCTCCATTGCACTGGAACTTTTCCAGACCTTGACCTCAAGAATCTTTAGTGTTTTCTACCATTTAGCTACATGATCATACTGTAAGGGATTCTCCTGAGCTACAAATACTTTTAAAAATCACCCAAATATTCCAGTTTACAACTGAACTCACCGTTTGGGCTTCCGATTGTATTTTTTGTGTCAAGACGGTCCGTAAGGTCTCAACCGTATTTTCCAGTTTAGCTACTTGAGAAGAGGTCTGAAAAGAAAAGATCAACAACCTGAACTGAGCCTCTTTCATTTTTTTCATGATCTTTCAACCCCTTTAACACCCGGCAGTCATCAACATTTCACGTCTAAATGCGATTTCAACGCGCTGTCTTACAAAGAGGTACTAAGAATTAACAAGCTCACTTTCATCTTTATATAACACCAATTCCCCTGTCGGATGGGAGAATAACTAGTCTTACTCGTTTAACGAAGAGAAGCGGAGGGAAATGAAGATAATCTTCTATACTACTTTCTTTCTGTGCCTACATAAGTGTTTATTGTTAGCTAGCGCTACAACACGTGCGTTTTCTCGACTGCGAGAAGCAGCTGCCAAGGGTCTGGCACGAATAATATGACTCGTATGTCAGCGCTATCGAGAGCCAGCTCTCAGGCTAAGATATGTGTAACTTGAGGCAGCTGTGCATCGGATGACATTTCCCAGTAGCAACTCACCTGTTGCACTTCCTCCTCCAGCTTCTGCACCTTATTCCGCAAGTCTCCAGTGTCCTCCTGCTCCTCTGGCACCGGTACCGGCTCCGGCTCCGGCTCCGGCTCCGGCTCCAACTCAGGTTCTGTCTCTCTGACAAATGGAGAACGAGGTCGCCTGAAGAAAAAGAGAACATGTCAAAAAGAATAAATTAAAAAATTAAAAAAAAAAAAGACAAAATTAACCAAGTGTTAGTAAAAAAAAACTCTGCTGTGGAACCATAACAATAGTGACTGATAAAACAGAATTCCTTTTCTATATTGCGGTATACTCTGCAGTGCGGTCTCACTGAGGCTTTCTTTTTTACTCTAAGAGTCAAAAACGAAACCCACGTGGTCCACACAACCGGAACTCTCCTAGCTTCCAAATGGTGAAGAAAATGATGATAAGACGGAATCTGCCTGGATACGATACTAGTGCACCACAGGTTACCCATCTCCTCCCACAGTACAGGGAGACACGGAAAATTGTTCTACCATATGAGATACTGATGAACATATGTAGTGCATTCTCTATATGAAGATGCTCTAATGCGCTTTTAAAGTACTTTTCAAGGGACTAAGGGAGACTAAGATAATTTCTTCTGGTTCACTGCAGGTTACCTTCCACTTCTTCCCCCCCCCCCGCCCCCTCTCAGGGAGACAAGGAGAATTGTTACTCCGCTCAGAGAGCAGAGAATTCCATCATGTTTCCCCCTGATGTTGATACATGTCTGTAATCCTGGGTGGAGGGAGGCGTATTGCAGGAGTAAAATGTACTGTCTGAAAAAAAACATCATCACAACGACCTTGACCTTTTCATCTTGAGTCTATCATCTCTGAGACCACCAAACATTGAGCCTTCGCATGTTACACCCCCAAATGTGATTTTGCTTAACCCCCAACCCTTATAAGTGATCAGCATTGAATTTCTCCCTGCAGTATCACCCCTAACTCAAACACGAAGGCTGTGAGAATAAAGAAAATGATCAGCAACTACACTAGCATTTGATTTTTGAACAAACTCTCCTTATCAGCACCTTAGGAAATGTATAGAAAACAGTATGGAGAATATGCATACTGATGTTAGGGTGAGTATCCTTTACAAGATTTAAATCTCTTACTCTGCTGCTTTTCTTCTCTCTTCTTCTTCCTTGGCCTCTAAGTCAGCTTTCAGCGCTGCAAGCTGTCTTTGAAGGAGAGCAATCTAAAACATGACATTAGAATGTTTTGCAGTTCTCCTTCAAGAGTCATACCTCGGTCATGTGCTGTCAGTAAAGGGGAATTAGATGGTCTCATTGAATTATCACATTAAAATTTTGGTTGTCAAAGCTAAATATCAAAACCTACATGAATGAAAATTCCAGGAAATTGCAACTGTATCAGGTGGTAATGGTTCTATACCCTTTTAAAACCATTTGCAGGTTAAAACCATTTGTACGTTAAAACCATTTTGTAGGTTAAATTCATTTCCAGGTTAAAACCATATGAAGGTTAAAACCACTTGAAGGTTGAAGCCAAGAAATCTATTTCTTGTTTTTTGTTTGTTTGTTTGTTTGTTTGTTTTCTTGCTGAAGAAGGCAGAGGGCAGAGAACTAGGAGAATTGTGTTTTTGTTGTTGTTTTCTCCAGAGTAGGCTTTGCTCATTGTTCCTTAGTTTACTTCTTTACTTTAACTGTGTGAAAGCTTGTTGATGTTATGAAATTTCCTCAGTTTTCTTAATAGGAAATAGAAGCATTATGTAAAACTCATGCTATGATTGCCAGAGGAACAAAGTAGAGAATCAGGTCAACTTTCCCAAGTATTTTTGAAAACTAAAAAAGGCTGATGAATATCATTCATTAGTAAAAATTAATCACACCTCATCAGGAAGAGGCCTAAGCTTGTCTTGTAGCTCTCTAAACTGCTCATCAGTGTCTTGACGCCAACTATCCACCTGTTCTAAGCTTCTGTCTCGATCTTCTTTGTCAACTTTACCATGCTGCGTGCAGAAAAAACATGTCAGACAAACATAGTTTCAGAAACTATTCTGCTTTCTCAATCATAGCAGTCAAAACTTTTCTCCACTCACTAAAAATCTTCAAACAACAGTATGTTTTGATTTTTCACAAACACTCAAATACATGAAAATAAAGTTACTTAAGGGATGGTCTAATCAGTCCAAGTCTACCCATGAGGCATGTATGACCCTTGATGACAGACAAGTTATCATACTGTTCTACATCCCCGGAAAAAAAAAATGTAAGCTCAACCTCAAAATTTTTCTTGTAAAGGTCTGCATTTCAATATCACATAACAAATGGTGATGATGATTTTTAGTAACTACAGTTTTCTTCATTGCAATACAAAGAAAATAAATTTATTAAAACAGTTACTTTAACAGTATGATCATTTCTTGGTTTCAGATATAATAAATAATACTTTTACAATTTTACAAGTCTTTTTGTTTATGGATTGAGGAATTTATTAGGAGTTAGTTGTTAAGAATTAACAACATCGGTTTAATTTTAAGACATTTCTTCATCATTCTATAGCTTTACTTTACACAGCAATTATGTCATTTTGTTTTGTTTTGCATTGTTTTGTAATTGTATCTTTCTTCACTCTTAACTTTTATGCACATAAACTTTATCCATTCATGTCAACTTAAGTTTTTAACTTAGTTTTAAACTTGATATTGTAAAAACAGGTTGGTTATCTCGTGGTTACAAGTAAAAATTTTACAACAGATTTTTTTCACCTCTTTTTTCGGAGTGTCCACTTTTTTAATCCGCTGTGACAGCAACACCTTCAATACAAACAGGTTCATGGTTAGTGTGTACAAAAAATTGAGCAAATTTTAAAAAACTTTTAACTTATTTTAAAAACATATTATATATTCCTATTTGATTGTAAATTTATACTTTAAGTACCGTATCAAAATATTTCATCATTTCAAATCACATCAAACTGCAATAATCATTACTTTTGACTTCCTATTCAAAGAAAATAATCACCACATCAAACTCTTATTTCTTTCTCCCTTAAAAAAGTTCAAAACTTGATATTTATAAACCAGTTTGACTTTATGTCTATCAACCTTACCAGCTAAAATCACTTTATTACTTTAAAACTTAGAATCAATGATACTTCGCAGAGGTCAACACTAAAATTAATAAAAGACCACCACCATTGTTATCTGACAACAGTTACCAGAAGAGTAAAATTTATTGGTATAATGTTAAAAGAAAATTAGGTATTACATTCCATAACTCATTGGGTTTGGGCCTGAACAACAACAGAAATCCTCTCCCACACCTTTTCAAGCTTGCTGAGAACACCTTCCATCTCTCCTATTCGCTTGTTCAACTTGGCAAGTCTTGTGTCCATGTTTGCCAATCCTTTGATCCCTGTGTTACTGTTCTCGTCCATCATGCCGATCAATTCTTCTTTTGCCTGTGCTACAACAGACAGTCATGTATCAGTTCAAAGTGCTCCAAAAATAAAGGACTTGTCACTTACATGTACATTGTACTGAGGCACATACAAACCTGGTACTTAACCTTTGAAATCCCATAAGTGATTAAGACAGAATTTCTCCTTACAATATCAATATGATATCAAGCAGACAAGTGATGAGAATAAAGAAAAATATCAATTCAGGGATTTGGTCCAAACAAATTCTCCAAACTAACATCATAGCTAGCCTCCTGGTTAGCTCAATGGATAGAGCGCTGGACTGTTGTGCGGGAGGTCGAGGGTTTAAGCCCCGGCCGGACCAACACTCAAGGTCTTAAAATAATTGAGAAGAATATGCTACCTTTCTAACATCAAGAAATGGTTAGATATTCTAGTCTTCTCAGATAGGGACGAATAAATGGAGGTCCCGTCTCCTGCAGGGTTAGGGGTAGGAGACATTAATTTCCCATGCATGAGATCACTGTGTGATGGATGTCCTCCCCTGGGGTGGGTGGGTTACTGGGCCCGCAGTAATTGGCGCAAAGCTGTTGCGGTGTCCCTGCCCATCGGCGAAGTTAATAAACTAATTACTAGTAAAAGAGAACTTAATTGTGAGTGAAAGGGTTATGGAGAGTTAAAAACCTACCTTGGCCACACTGTCGGAAACCTGTGAGTTGACCCCACCAAGTGCTTGTTGTAAAGTGCTGATGGCCATGTTTAGTTTGTCTTGTAACTGATTACATCTGGTGGACAGTTTCTCACTTTGTGATTGCCTGTAAATTATGAGAGGCAAAACAAATCAGAAATGAACCAACAGATTATACCACTCACCCAAGGAAATGACAATTTGATATACTTGATAGCCCACACCAAATCAAATGAGTGCTGTGTTAATTAATCTGAGATAAATTTCATGTTAAAATCATTTTTAACTACTTGATTTGTGTTTTTCTTTGTAGCACATTACCACAACCCTTAACAGAAAAAAAATCCTGACAATCACAATGCATTTGTATCTATTAAGTATATAATGCACACAAATCAAGTTACTTTGCTGTCAGGATTCTTATCAAACAGTTGTCACTAGGAATATGGTAACTAAAACTGGGCAAATATCAAAAACCACAACTTATATGATAATAACGTTGGCTTGCTCAAGGATTTTACAGTTTCTCCCTCAACCTACACAATTGTTTTTCTGCCGTTCTTGTCATACAGGATTTTTTTCCCCATAATTTGTCTACCCAAAATCCCCCTCCTCCCCTTAAAAGACATTATTAGTGCCATCCCTGAAGGATAACAAAAAACACTTCTTTTTAAATTACTGATTATTTAACTCATAGTGACCTTGATGTGATTTCAGCATGTAACACTTGTTCTATAGCCTTCCTTCCTTCCTCCATCTGTCTTTCAAGTAATGTTATGGACTCGTTAAGCCGCACAAGACTCTGGTCAGTCCTTGCCTGTGCAACCTGAGTAGAAAATGTTGGGTTACTTTATGATATAAAAAATATTATAGATCATTGAAAATAAAAACTTATATCCCATAGACAAATAGTGTCTTGCTCCTATCATAATATTTCTAAAAGCAAATAGTCAGCCATGTTTTGTTAACCTTTGTTAAAAGAAAAATTATATTTGATTTCCATTATTTTTTTTATTGCAATATTTACATCTACCATAAAAAGTTCAAAATCAAGACATCTTCCTCATTTCCTAACACACCCAGAAGGTTTATAAGAACTTGAGCAAGACTTTTTCTCTATTTTTCTAACTTTAACTCGTGTTTCTACAATGCCACTGATACAGAAGAGTTTTATTTTGATGTGAAAACTAAACTCTTTGCCAAGTTTTAGAACCTTACATGTGGAAGCAGTTACCTGCTGAGCTTGTCTAGCTGATTGTGCTTCTTCATCAATGTATGCTTTGAGTGACTGCCAACGTTTATCCATCTCCTCTCGCTGTGTTCTCTCAAACACAAGTCTAGCTGCTTGTTCCTCGCGTAATTTCTTTGTAATTAGCAAAGTAACAGATTTCAGTGTGATAATTTAGATTACTTTTTGTACCAGGTAACCATTCCATCTGGAGCTTATTGCAGTTTCCATTGGAATTTGAAGTGACTTGGAGTCTTACTACTTCCCCCCACCCAGATGGGATGCCAGTCTATCGCAAGGTTAGCCCCTAGAATTTCATCGAGCTTCCCTGACAACTCAAAAGTATCCATTTCTACCCCTGGGTGGAGAGAAGTACTGCAAGAGTATTTAAAGTGTTTTGCTCAAGAAAACCCAACACAATGACCCAGTCAGGTCTAGAACCCAGAACCTCTCAACCTGGAGTCCAAAACAAGACCACTGTGTCTCTCCTTTGATTACTATTAATATTGAATCAGATGTTTATTGAACTATCTGGAAGTCTTGTAGTGAGTTTTTCTAGCTAACAATTCAAAAACTTTAAATTAAACCGCTCACCTTTTCTAACAAAACAAACTTTGCATGAGCATCTTCTCTTAGTCTTATTTCTTTCTGTAACATCTTTTTGCTCTGCTCGTCTGAAAGTTCTGCCAGTTTACTGGCAATCATATTTCTTTCACTCTCAAGAAGATCCTCCTTCTCCTTGGAATTCATGGACTGTGCATATAACTCTTGTTCTCTCTGGTGATGACTTTCCTGCACAACAGTTCTCAACTGTTCTATACTAAAATTTAAAAAAAAAAAAAAAAACATAAAAAAAACATTATTTGAAACTTAAACAATCAACACTGATCTTGGATGTATGTACATTGAATGATTTCTCAGCCATTTTGTGAAAAGAGGCAACAAAATTGAAGCCTTTCGGTTGTATGTCACATAGTTCACAGAAAACTGAGATCCCTACCTGAGCTGGTTCTGTTGACTAGCTGTTCTTCTCTCACTTTCCTCAGCTTCAATGCGCCTTCTCAATTCACTGGTTATCTCTTTTATATCTGCTAATCTATACCATGGAATTGAATGACATGATTCAATTGAAAGACCACTACTGCAGTAAAAATAGCTGTTAACTATAGTTCTCATTTTTCATACTATGGCTTCAAAGTGAATTTGATTCCAAACATGACTGTTAACTACATGTTCAACACCCAGACTGTAGGTAAATCAATCAACCCAATAAAAAATTATCAATAACAGTTGTGTGTGCAATTTTCAGGCATCAGGATGAAAATCTGACCATGATTCAAATACCTTGCTTCCATGATACTCTTGAACTGAAATGAATTGGCTTCTTTAGTGTTCTGATCATCATGTTGTTTCTTTAAGGAGGACATCTGTTAAAAAGAAGAGACACCAAAACACAGTGAAAAAAAATCTGGCAGGTATTCTTATTTCTGTTTACCATGACTAATTATATTCAGTAGAGTGATCATCTTACCAACCAACTGCATTTTTTACTAGACTTCTGCCATACAGTTCATGAAATAAACTTATAAACATGAAGCTACAACCAATTAAATTAGACTTTAACCCTTTAACTTCCAGATTAACATGTTAATTCTTGCTATAACATTTATTAATCATCCAAGAAACAGTCATACCGAGAAAACTCAAACTTATCAGGAAGAGAAGTTTTTGTCTTGATTCAACACAAGATTATTAACTAGTTCACAAGGAAATATGTAACAGCTACTGGAAAATGGGAGGATTAATAATCATATGTTAGGAGCTCAAGGGTTAATCATTGATCTACAACATTTCACAATAATAATAATAATAATAATAATAATAATAATAATAATTTATTTCTTATAGAGTGCTATTTACAATGACTGATCAACAGTGCTTTACAATTAGTGTACTAACCCACCCATCCCATCCCAGGGGAGGACATCCATCGCACAGTAATCTTGTGCGTGGGAAA